CAGCCAGCCATGCTGGCTGGGGGATTCTGGGGGTTGAAGTCCACTCATCTTAAAGTGGCCAAGTTTGGACAACACTGTATTAAGCAATGGAACAGCCTAAAGTTGTGGATGTTCCATCACTGGAGGTTTTCAAGGAAAGACTGGACAGCCATTTGTCCAGAATGGTCTGAGGATCCCTGCGCTGGGCAGGGGATTCCAACCCTGCGATTCTATTACGACTCTTTGTGACTTACATAGAAATACCCACGTATAGAGCATGCAGAAGTTTTGCCTGATTCATTAAACATGAATACTTCACTTTACATTTATCTATGTATTAGGCATATACGAGTATAGAATAGAATATGCAACAATGTTAGATATATATATTGCATTATTTCATAAAGTGGTTCTAAAGTTTGCATGCCAAGTCCAGCAGGTAGCAAGCTCATGAGGTCCTCCTGGGTGGTGTAGCTTCCTGCTAAGGTTCTCTTCATGTGGTGTAATTTGGAAAATGGCTTCCAAATATCTCAAATTGGACAGAAGCAGTTACAGACTGTGATTCTGAATACAGATTTGTGGCTTCCCAAATGCAAAGAATAGCTTCAGAGAGAAAGGCAAAAAGTATGTGATAGAAAGAAAGGGACTCCTAAAAGAAGAAAATAGGGGAACTCATATACACCTTAAGACAAATCCCTATTTACAAGTGATTGTATTAAAACAGATGTATTTGGGAATAAATATTGTTTAAATGAGCTTTTCTTTACATAGCCAAAACATGAGGACCTTATGCTTATTCTCTTTGCTTAGATTTAACATTACAAATAAAATTTAAAAGATTTCTTGCATTTTTCTATCTCCTGAGAATACTGAGCATTCTTATTAGAGAATGTTATTTAATATTGCTAATTTCATTTATTGTTTATTAGAAATGCATGTCACCTTGCATATAGGAGCTCAAGATGGCATCAGAGCATATCCTCTATGTTCTGGCTTACATTTTTTCCTTGATACACTTCAATCCCCTTCAATTCCCTAGCATACTAGTTTGCTCTCTCGAAGAATCGCTATGGTATTATTATTCCTTCCAATCCGGTAGCTAACAGCACTGTTTTCAGCAAGAACATCTGAATTGTTGGTGACATTCTACCCAATATACTCAGTTGGTTCCTTCAAGCAAATTTGCTGCATGCTCTCTCAGCACTGTGCATATATCTTAGTGGAGTCCTTGGGGTTTTCTGAGCTTGGTTGTTTTCTTGCAAATGTTTCATTAGCACTGAAGAG